TTTTTTTTTGCGTTTTACTTTTTATTAACGTTTTGGTTTGTTCATTTTTTGAGCGTTTGGTTTTCTTATTATATTTTCTTATTAAATTTGTTTTTTTTATTTGTATTTGAGCCCTATGTGTCAGCCATATAAACCTCCTGGTTTCAATTACATTTCAGCGCAATTCAGCACGTTCTTAGATAAAAGCGATAACGACAGAGAGGTATAAACCGAGCCGCACAGTCAGGCTTAACGCTTCGTCACAGAGATAATAGGTAAGACTCACATCATCATGGCGACCTCATCGATTTTAAGCTGTTTGATTATCAGTTTTGCCACGATCGTAAATGCTGATCATGGGGAGCAACTGTCCGTCACAGATTATGGGTCATTGCAAATTTCCATGGTACAACATGGAGAGAAGTACGCCACCAACAGACCTTGTTACGCGTACGAAGATGTATCACCCTTGTACCACGGCATGACTCATGTCCGAGGACTGAACGATAAACTTGGGACTATAACTTTTAAAGTTAATGTCCCGGTCATCATTTACCTCGCCATCGATTCGCGTTATTCATATATTCACGGAAACGACTACGAAGACACGGGAGATTTAGTCATGCTGGGCGGCTGTCACAAGCCTAGGGTTAAATTCCCTATTTACCGGAGCCGTCGGGTACACGGACCCGGTTTGGTGTCGGTGCATTTCCCGTCCTCTCGAATGACAGGGATTTTTCTCCGAGATAACGCCTTTGACGTGCGCCCTTATGCAGAGCTGAAGGTGACGTTCACTGGTACCCCTCGGGAGATAAGCATGGTGCGGCAGGGGGAGAAATTTAGTACCAACCGGGACTGCTACAAGATGGAAGATATCCCTCCGAAATACCACGGACTTACGCATCTCCGGGGACCAAACGACGAGACCACTATTACTTTCCACGTGAATATTCCAGTGGCGGTATATGTTGCCATCGACTCCAGAAAGAACCGAAACACCATTCTACCCGCATATTTCAAAGCCACCGGGGAAAAGATTGTACACGGGGGATGTCACGAGCCCACGGACTTCCCAATATACGAGCGAAAATACCTCAGCGGGGGAATCGTCTCCATTCCACTCATTGCGTCAAGGATGCTCACAGTTATAATCAAACCACTGATGTAACTATGGAAACGGCATGTAATAACGTCACAGTAAATTGAAACTGAACATGATGATTTTAACTGGTTATAGAGATTTTTAGAAAACCGTAGTTTTTTCAAAGAAAAGACGTCAAGCGACATCACTGTCATGATAGACATATAGCGAAATTTGCCGTAGAATCATTGTAGTTGAGTAAAGACCAAGTAACAAAGTTCTGAATGTTCTCACTCGAGTTTGAGAAGCATTTGTAAGACTTGTAACCGACGGAGTTGTAGCTCTTTTAAGCATGTGTCTTTGTCATACTTCAACAATCAATACATTCTGACTATATAATAACTATCTAGCGAAACATATTCTCTTAATATTGAAAACTTTGAAATGGAATAAAAATAAATAGCAGTTATGCAACGCTCTCTGGTAGTATACCATGGAATAACCCACTTGTCATTTATATTTGTTTTGGTATTACACACTCGCCTTTAAGTCCTAGGAAAATACGAATACTTAAATACATAGAGGATATTACACGGTGGCGAGAAGATATGAACTTTATGTTCGTGAGAACATAAAATTCATATATTTGAGCTAACGTGTTATGTCCTGTTTATTATATAGACATACTGATGACGGCGTTTTTGACGATTTTCCGAAGATTTCAATTCCGGTCATTTTCCGAAGAGTTTCGAAGATTTTCCAAAATTGTTCCGAAGGCAGACAAACGTTTCCGAACATTTCCCGAAGATTACCGAAGATTGCCGAAGATTGCCGATGACGAACGAAGAAGATCTGAAGATGTTTCGACCATACACCAACAAATTTAAGTGTAGTTAAAGGGACAAAAGAAAATGTTATCAAAAATGATATATTCACATGTGAGGATATCATATCGTTTTTATCAATTTGTTACCACTCGGTATACCACTGACTTTAAATAATAAATAAAGAATAATCACGAATAAATCGTTATTCGTGAGCTCAACATAATATTTAAAATCATGAGATCCACGGGTTCGAGTTTCTATAGCTGTACTTAGATTTGTCGACATGAATAATACTACAGTGTGTATTTGTAATTTTATACATGCTGCTTAGACGGGCTTGTTCATGTTTGCGGCAAGAGGCTATGGATTCTCATTCCAGATTTTTCAACATAGAAGTACCACTTGATGTATATCTGTAATCCCCTTTACAGAAGCGAGCAGATGCCCTTTGCACATTCTCCATCTTAAAGATATCACACTGTTCCATTTTGGGTCTGACTTAGGTTCAAGGATGTTTGGAATAAGGACCCTTGATACGGTTTAAAGAAGTTGTAAGTGATCTCTCGACTTTCGACCCTAATAAAGGTCTATTCCAAAGGAAGCACGGTCATTTCAAACACAGTAGGTTGAAGTTAAATATATCCGAGCTGCTCAATATCTCATTTGAAATGTCGAGGGCGTGCGCAAAACTTTGTTCTCGTTCTATTGTCACTCTCATCACCAGAAATATTTCAAAAAGAAACCCTAGTTTTCCCACGTGCACGGGGGATGACGGTGGCCTAGAATTTTCCCTTAAAGCAGTCACGATAAACTTCTGACATATTTGAAAAGGTCGGCGTTGATGTTTGTTTAGGTAATTCCTGGAGCGCGATACACCTCAACCCCACCCCCTGCTACAAATTATACATTTCAAAGTTATTTGCTAACACTTAACAGACAAGTTTCTTTACCAGCGTCAACCATTACACGTGTCGCAAGTTATCTTTGGATATTTCTTGATTATTGATCAGTTCATTATCAGAGGTTTGACCATCACTGTAATCATCCGTGAGGCAATGAGTGGAATGGAAACGATTCCCCCGCTGGGGTATTTTCGCTCGTATATTGGGAAGTCGGTGGGCGCGTGACATCCCCCGTGTACAATCTTTTCCCCGGTGGCTTTGAAATATGCGGGTAGAATGGTGTTTCGGT